AGTGGCCGCTGGAGGGTGCGTCGTGCGCCTCCGCCAGGATATCGAGCTTTACATCCTCGTCGTTGGGCACGACCACCCGTGGAGGTTCATTGGGCTCCATCCGGTAATGGAGGAAGCCATCCTCCAACTCATATCGGTGGAGCCGGGAGCGCTGTCGCGACGAAATCCAGTCAAACGTCGCTCTCGTTCCTGCCGTGAGGAGCTTGACGATATGCGCGACAGCCTCATCGTCCCGATACGCCATGCGTATCCGATCATATAGATCCGTTGTCACCCGTGTGATGTGGGCCAACGCGTAGTCTGGACGCCGCGAGATGTCGTCCGCAAGCACGTTGAGCTTGCCCGGCTTGTACTCGACGCGGAAGTTGTACTCCGCGAAGAAGTACAGCCACCACGCCATCCGCTGGGAGAGGTGAGGCGACTTTGTCGCCGTCCTCAAGGTTGCGTGGTCTGTATAGATCACGAAGGGCCGTGGGCCCAGAAGCTGACTCGTTCGTGTCCAGCCGTGTCGGCCTGCAGAGGACACTCGATGGTGTAATCGGTCGCATCGCAGACGATGCTAAACGGTTTCGTCTCGTCCGGCAGGGCCAGGACAGGGGCCTCTTGGAGACTGGCATTGATGCTGTCAAAGGGATCCTGGTGCTCTTGCTCCCAGTGCCAGTCGACGTCCTTTTGAAAAAGGCCCGGCAAGGGCTAGCGAAGCCCGCGTACCCTGCGCTGTACTTGTGAAGGTAGTTGGCCAAGCCCAACCACTTTCGAAGATCCGTCTGGGATCGGAGCGCCGGCCATGCTGCTTTGGCCTTGACGTTTTCTGGGTCAGCTCGAACGCCCACGTTGCTGACGAAACAAACGAGAACCTGAATCTCTGGTGGTGCGAAGACGCACTTGTCGATGTTGGTGTAGAGCTTGCTCGCTCGCATCACGTCCAACACTCGGGTGCCTCATGTGCACCTCCATAGCCGTCTTGCCTCCATCGGCACGGCTATGGACGAAGCTGTCGTCGAAGTACGTCTGTACGAAGGCACGTAATGGCCGGTACAATTGCGTCACCAGATGGTTGAACGTCGCCGGGGCATTGGATAAGCCCTGCTGCATGACGAGCCACTCCCAAAGCATGTCGCTTGGAGTGCTTACCACGGTGAGCGGGATGTCGCTCTCTCGCATCAGGATCTGGTACCAAATCCAGCGCACTGTACAGTACGCTTCCGGCCATGTTGTTTAACAACACATCCTTTCGTGGGATTGGTGTTTGGGCCGACATCGTTGCATTGTTCAGCTTGTTATAAGGATGAACCAGACGCCACTTTCCGTTCGGCTTCCGAACGCAGAAAGTTGGCGTCGAGTACGGGGATTTCGCGCCATGCCTGCCTTCGCATTCGAAGCGAAGAAGGCATCGATGCCCTCGCACTGTTCGAGCGGAAGAGGACATTGCCTCGTGACACAGTACTCTGTGCCAGGCACGAGATCAATCTCATGCTGTACGCCTCGATCCGGTGGGAGTTGGGTCGGTGGGTGTTTGTTCACCATGTCCGCATACTCCGTCACCAAAGAATACACCGGATCCTTCGGATGCTTAAGATCCTCGGAACCCAAGCGCGTCTGCCACTGCTTTCTTAAGTCTTCCAGGACGTCCTCGTCCAAGACAGAGGAGGCGTTCAGCTCCTCCCGAGTGGTCTCAGGTCTCATAAGCACCATCTCATCAATCTCTCCGGCCTTGAGGTTGGCCAGGAAAGGCTCAGCCGGCATTTCCTCGAGGTTCTGTATCTCTGCAATCTCTGGCAACGGTTCCAAGTGGACACCAGATGCCTTGACGGGTAAACCGGTCTCGCCATCGAAGATGTGATAACACTCTTCCACCGGCCTTGTCAGAGGAGCCCGGGCCCTGGGCTTCGAGTCGCTTGCAGCGACGTCGATCGAAACGAAGTTCGGATCCAACTTGAGGCGGCAGCGGCGTCGTTGACGACGGCGACTGTGACGGGGAGCTTTGCTGCCCAAGTCTACGGATGTCATCGCTACGACATCCGAGGCACTCGTGGCCTCGTTTGGTACTGTGCTATCCACACAGGAAGAGTGTCCGACGTCTTCCTTTCAGTTAAGGTCTGGGCGACCGCGTGTGAAGCTCTATTACCCACCTTGAACACGCTATTTCCAGTATTCGTGACAGCTGCAGCTGTTTGCGGAGCAACGTTACCCGCCTGTGGACCTAAGCTACCCACTTGGTCAGCGCCTCCTCTGGGTGCTGCCACCATCAAAGCATCCTCGGAGTCCTCATACACGTCGACGACTCCCAAGCATCTGCTGGATGCTTTAATACCCTGGCAACCCTTGCGGGCGTCCCGGGTCCTGACAGAGGTGGGAACATGACTCACCAATTCTCTGTCGGACTTTGCAGAACGGCTGGCACTAATTGCCTTGCCTCGCTAGTCGATCCAGGGCTCGTGCTCCTCAAGCCAGGGTATGCCCAGGGTCATATCGTATGGATCCATGTCAAGAACAGTGAGCTGTTCGAGGCTGTCAAAGTCTTCCAACTTGACGGCCAGATCTACTTGGACGTTGGGGACAGTGACGACCTTCCAATCGACCAGTCGCACTGACACCGTCCCGTTGCCCTTGCTTTCTCTAAAAGCATCGGATAACTTGTTGCTATTACGAGCAACCGTCTAGCGGCGTGCGAAAGACTTCGACGCCCCAGAATCGATCAAGATTCAAAAGGGATGATCGTATCCCCGTACACATCCGTGTACTACGCTGATCTTCGCCGATTCGAGAGTGCGAAGACTTTCAGGAGCTAAGTCTCCGTGGTACTCGCCACCCGCGCACCCTTCATGAAGACTTAGTTCTTCCCCAGTAGAGCGCCCCGACCCTACTGATTTCCGGCGTTCCCCTGTCCCCGGGATCCTGGCTTCTGCCAGCGACCCTTGAGGACAGGCTTGGAGAAAGACCGTCTGCGGAGTCTTTCAGGGGGGCAAGCCGCGCTTGAAGTTGCCCGTTTTTCCGCAGCTGAAGCAGCGGATGTCACGCTGCTGGGCGGATCCGAGCTCCATGGGAACTGGTCCGTTGGGACTTGCTCGACCGGGAGCCGACAAAGAACTCCCAGGCCATGCCGAGGCCGACGTACGCGCCTGGCGATGGCTGTATTTCTCCTGAATGGCCACTTGAATCGCGTCTTCAAGGGAGTTTGACTGCACCCGGAACAGCAGAGTGCGCGCGGGGCCCACTCGAAGGCCGGCCATGAGCACAGCTATCTTGATGTGTTCGTTGAGTGGGCTTTTCACTAGGGACGCCGTGAGCTCCCGTATCTCTTGGACGTACTCGTGCAGCTCACGCCTCCCTTGTTTGCACGAGAGGAAGCGCGAGCGCTGGCGGTACTCGTAGTTCGCCGGGAGGAACGCGACTCGGAGCTGTTCACACAGCAGAGCCCAGGATTTGAAACATCCAGGGGATGTTGCCTCCCGCGTGAGCACCCAACACTTAGCACGGCCGCTAAGGTTGGAGAGTGCAAAAGCAACACGAAATTGCTCGGTCGAGATCAGAGCCGCGTCCAGATCAGAGCCGCGTTCATTGCGAGCTCTACGTTTCGGACTCAGAGGTGAAGGTTCTCGCCTTCCTTCCCTTCATACGGCTTAACCTTCAGCCGCATTGGCTTCGGGTGTGGCGGATTTGCTTCCGCCGCCGGAGCCTGCAGGCTCTCCCGCTCAAGTGCGATGAGCCCCTGCTCGTACGCGTCAAACGCATTGACGTGCTCGAGCAGCTCGGCCGGTGTTGACGTCACCAGGCTCTGCAGGGCCTCCATCACGAAGATGCCTGCCATCTTCCGAACCGACTCGAACTGTGAGTCGTTCGTATGGGAGAAGTCGTTCCTATCCATGGCAACGAACTTCGGAGAGGTCCAAGTTGTCTACCCGCGGTGGCGTCGATTGACTACGAGTGCTACCAAGTGTGACGGGGTCACATAGCACCTTGTGCGAGAGGAAGTTGGCTTCCGAGAGTATACAAACTCTCGGTCGGCACTTCGCGCGACTGCTCAAAACTCCGGCCAAGAGAAAGAAGCCCACAAGTAGCACGAGGATCCGGGGGGCGTTTGGATGGACGCGAAACCCCCGGGTCATACAATCTTTAAGTAAGCGCGAACGGTCGCGCACGGAAAGCGACAGAAAGAAGCAACATGCAGGCGGAGGGAAAAGAGGACGGCAGTGGCAGGAGAATGCACAAGAACGAGATGCAGAGCAGGGGAGAGGAAGAGCAAGAAGCAAAGCAAGGTTGGAAGACGGTGGTCCGAGGAAAGCAACACGCAAGCAAGAGCGATAAAGTCGGAGAAAAAGACTGGCACACAAACCAAGGACTGAAAGGGAAACAGGCAGGGAATGATGCACAGAGTTCATTGGCCTATGCAAAAAGGAAAACAGCGACCCAGACAGAGACAAAGCAAGCAAGCCGAGCGAGACCAGGGGATCCATACACAGGAGATGGTGCAATGGTTTTTGCCCAGCTACGCTCATACATCCGGTACAAAGCGCGAAAGGAATTCGTGATGCACACGGTGCTGAGGCTGAAGGACCTAGCTAAAGAGAGGCGATTCCAAGATCTTCTAAAAAAAGCAACAAACAAGAAGCAACGGTGCAGGAGAAGGAGAAGCTGAGAGAGCAATGGAGAGATGAGCTATCGGACGGAGAACAAGAGTGATACCAAGGATTGATCAGCTGCTGGGACTGTGCCAAGGACCATCACATCGAACGGCTGGGTGGATTGGTAGAGGCATGGCTACACACTGATGATATTGACCAAGATGAATTAGAAATAAGACTGCGGCGGTTCACTTTCATTAATGACCCCAGAACGAACAAGGGAATAGATAAGGGCCAGGACACCAACAAATCGTTCAAGGATGCCGTATCAGGCAACGATAATACGCGGCCAGCCGCAACGGAAGATGAGAATGTGTACCAGAAATGGTATAAACTCGGATGAGACCAGCAGAGCCAATAAGAGTCCTACGTGAAATGACAGACGAGGAAAAGCAAGCAATCGAGATAATACTAAACCACCAGCTAGAAGTGCCAATCCCGCCAAGGTTCGTGATCCAGATCATGGACGCAAGGGAACTGGCGGTTTTCACAGACCTCTTCATGGCAATTGAGTACCCCGCTGTACGCACATTTGTTACCGGGGCAACGATACGGACCCAACCTGACGAAGCAAGTGATCATGCACAAAGTGCACATGGGTGCTGAAGCTGCACTTCCTCAGAAGCTGCAAATACAGGAATTAAAGAAGAACATATCAAGGGCAGAAATCAACGCGGACACAAGAGTGGTCACAGTGACCTTCAAAGGGAAACATACCGCCATGAAATGGGTCGGATGGTGAATGCCTCTGGGGATGAGAATGCTCACATTGGTAGACTACGAAACGCAGAGGGAGGAAGCAAAAACCAAAAACACCCTGATCAATCTGGACTTCTACCGATTCACGATCGCAGTGAAGAGAGGAACACTCACATCGTCTGATTTGTACTGGGTACTCACACACCAATTATGACTCAAAGTACAAGCGCTGGTGCATGTGGAAACAGGAGGGGGAAATATAAATGACAAACAGTGGAGCAACATCAAGGCAGCAGGATTCCCGGGAGAGCTACGCAGGATGTCAATGCTGGCGGTGGATGACGCGATTCTGACGATATACCATCATGAAGTCAACACACTGGCCATGCTCTTAATGCAGAGCGCCGGAGCACTCAGGACGTTTTTGCAGGACACCGCCGGAGCGTATAAAGGCCATCCAACAAAACCACTCGAAGAGAGGGAAAGGAAGCAGAGACTACGTCAGCAGAGAGCGTCCGGTCACCATTGAGCAACTACTGGAGCAAGTATCAGGACGGAAGCCCAGATCCAATGCGAAAAAAGAGGAACAGTGGAGGGAGAACGGAAAAGACAGCTCAAAAGAGAATAAGAGGCCGACTTTACCAACAGAATGGGAGCCAGCAAGGAGCACATCGGGAGATCCAGGAGAGAGCAGCAGAAAGGAAGATGTGCCACAAGACAGAGAGGAGGAGCAGAACACTATGAGGGCACACGAAGAAACTAAAGGGAAGGCACCGGTGCAAGGCAACAAATAGAAAACTTTGGAAGCTAGCTGCGACTTTGACGAGGGAATGGAGGACGCTGCAATGAGCGAACATGAAAACTCCGAAACAGGACCAGCATACAGCTACGGTTACCCCAGTATGACGCGAACCAGCACGACTCACGACCCACAAGTGAAAGCACACGAAACAGAAAACGCAGTGCAAGAGGTGACGAAGGAACAGACAGGATACCAGGGCTCGGACACACGCAAAGAGGGTCGAGAACCGAGGCAGAAAGCTTCCTCTCCCAAAAGACAATTGTCCGAAAACTGGAAGCTCCATGGGGACAACAAGGGAGACCAAACCAGTAAAGCAGCAAAAAAGATCAAGAGTGAAGAAACAGAAAACAAGCGGTTGAAGCAAGACACAAATCAGACGGAGACGAACAACCAGCAGGAGAAAAAACAAATCCAACAATACATTCACAAATACGTAACCACGCAGACAACCTCGGTAACGGAAGCTCGTGTCTCGTCGACTCAAGCGGAAATCTCCGACGAAAGCGAGGCGCTGGAAAAGGAAGGTTTCCACGTAACAGGAACGAAACAAGGGGATGATTTCGGTCGGCCACTAAGGGAATGGTTGGACATTGTGGGGGGACGATCACTAATGTAGCGGCCAACGGACACTGTGGATGGCTTGCTTTCTTTGCATCACTACACAACATATCGACGGGCCTGTTACAGCTGGAATCCAGTGCAGTAACAGCAGCGAATGGGCTGAAAAGGCAAGTAATGAACAACATGATAGCGAACGTGGCAGACGAGTTCAAGGTACACAAAGAGGAATGCGAGGCAGCGCTCGCAGCAGCCGGGAAAGGAGTTACCAAGCAAGCTGCAGACACAGCGAAGCTGTGCGCATTGGCTAACCACTACGCGGATCAACGGAACAGATCAGTCAAAGCGTCCGTGCCAATGAATTACTGGGTGAGACCGAAACTCATAAAAGCAATGGCGATGCACGCCCGAGAAATGGTGTTTGTCCTGGATGTATTACAGGAGGAGACAGTAACGCTGCAGGCATACGGATACAAAGAAATGGAGATGCCAGACAAGACGGCGATCGAGCCGGGAACGGTGGTAACATTGCCGTCGCACGTCGGAGCGGACATTCTGAGAGAACTTACAGCAGCAGGAACACTGCCTATCATCATGGTGCTGCACTACAGCAACGCAGGCAATCACTACCAGGCGGTCACGTACGATCCCAAACAATATCAAACATACACAGATCAGTGGAAGGAGCTCACAGGACGGCGGAACACCAAACTGATCAAATATGGAGGGAGGGCGTTAGATGCAGAACCGTTCGAGGGGGACAAAACAGCAAAAGCTGCAACTTAGGAGCTCAAATCCATCCGCAGAGCAGACAAAGACGCCAAGGCTAAAGGACAAGAGTCGAAGAATGAGAATACCAGAGCAGACGAAGGAAACACAACACAACAAGTTGGAGAGGAAGAGAAGCAAAAAAAGCCCAGCGGTAGCTGCTACGAATGGATGCACCAAGACCTCGCTACAGCTGACGCAGAAGTGCACAAGAAACAGGAAATAGCGACAATCACGGTGGGCGAGGCAAGCAAGTCGACAACAACAGCAATCCGCAACGCACCGACGGCACACTATCCACCCAGCGTTACAGCAGCAACCGCAACGAAGGTGCCAAGAAACAAGGAAGGGATCGCATATCAAGATGCCAAGATAGCACACGGGTCAGTGCAACCACCCAAGGAGACAAATGATGGAAGGAAAAACTAAGAAGCCGAACAGAGAGTGAAGAGAGGGGCGACACCATGAGGGCGGAGGACAACAGACAATACGAAGTTTTTTCAAGCACATAACGGAGCAGGAAAGAATGAAGTCCATACAAGATGAACACAGAAATCTTAACAAGAAAATAACAAGACAAACAAGAACAATGAGGAGACGAAGACGACGACTAGCTACACAACAACATGTCAACGCCAAAACCCTGGGGCTGGCCACATACAACATAAGAGGCATAGCAGTACAAAGGGAAACGATCGGGACCTATCTACAGGTACTGAAAGAGAGGCTAGAACGAGGAGTACGGGACATCACCCTTATGCAAGAGACGCACCTGATAGCCCAAGAGCAGGATTCGGCAGCGGCTCAATACGCAGCGATGTGGGGATACAAGAGAGCCTGCGCGACGATACTTTCAGTATGGTCGTCAGGCACAGCAAGACGAGCAGGAGTAGCCATCCTTCTCAATCCGTATGGAGCTGTCAAGGATCTAACGGGATAGGGAGAGGAACACTGGACCGAACACCTAGTGATGACCACTGGGGAGATCCAGGGATAGTGACATCTTTTCATAAACATATACGCACCGTCACACGGGGCTACAAGAACACTCTTCTTCAGCACGCTACGAGGTATAAGACTGCCAGCGGATCACACCATAGTATGCGGAGGAGATTTCAACTGCGTCACGACAATAGAGGTAGACAGGAGGGGGACAAACACGAAAGCCGATGTAGGGTCACGAGTCCTACGGGGCTTCATTCAGGGCAACGCTTTAGTGGACACGGGAACGTGCAATATACCAACAGTGGCTACAGAGGCGGAGATGACGCTATATGGTAGAACCCACCACACACACAGACATACAGCAGCGGACGGACAAAAGGGGGCATCTCGCATCGATCGATGGTACCCCTCGGGTCGGGACCGGAAGCAGATACGGGGGGTGACCACAGACGAGGGTGTCTGCGATTCAGACCACAAGGGTGTGATTCTAGAGATGCACTACCCAAAAGGGGCAGTGAGGATTAAGAAGAGGGAGGAGGTCTATCCGCCACCGATGTACGTGCAGGCAGCCACGAGGGACATGATAACCAAAAGATTGCAGGATTGGGGGAGCAGTATGGAGCAGATGAATCCACACACAATGGCGCAGAAATGGGACAAGTTCAAGAATGAGATCAAGGCGGAGATGAAGCAGCTCAGACAACAAGCCGGCAGGAAAATGACTCAAGGATTCAGGCAGAAGATTAGGCGGATAAACCGCAAACTGGCAACAGGACGAGGAGAATCTGCAGATGAGGAACGGCAACAAGCAGAACTACTGGCAGAGTTGAAACAATTGCAGGCACAGCTCAGAGCAAGAGGAGGAGAAAGCTCGTAAGCAAGAAGGCATGGACATCGAAAGCCTCAACAAAAATTTTCTTCAACAGGATCTGCACAAAGTACGGAGATAACATCATTCCCACGCTAATAGCACCAGAAGGAGCCCCCAAACGCGGACTCCACGGCAAGGCAGACACGTTGGCAGACAGCTGAAGAAGCACGTTCAATGGGCATGCAGACAACGAATCAGGAGCAGATGAATTCATCAGTACGTGCAAGTAATCATGGGAGCATATTGACCTAAAAGAAATCGACAAGCAGATAGGACAAGACGAAGTCGCAGCAGCAATAAAATAATGCAAGAGCGGGAAAGCGTGCGAACCGGACAGTATGGGCAATGAATGGTGTCGAGATTATGAAGACTAATTGGTGCCAATCCTGACAAAACACTTCAATATATAGATCTTGAAGAGGGACACACGCCAAAGTCATTTAACGAGGCGTATATCTTCAGCATATCCAACGGGGGGTACGAGCAACGCACTTAATTATCGGCCCATTGCTCACCTCAACACTGGCTACAAGATATTCACCAGGATTCTGGCGTGGAGAGTAAGAAAGCACATCAAACGGCTAGTGCATACGACGCAGTTCGGAATCATACCATGGCGAACAGTACATGAGGCAATAGATCTCCTGGAGGCGGCTAAAACGGCAGCAAAGAGCTCGGAAGAGCTCACCCGAGCGCAAGTACTGCTTCTTGATTTCGCGAAAGCATACCACTCGCTGGATAGGGACTACCTGCATAAGGTGTTGGAGGCCAAAGGTTTTCCACCCAATTTCAGAGCGATTGTAAAAGCAACACACCATCAGACGTCGGTGCGATTCATGGCCAACGGAACGCTTTCAAGGGCTATCGCAGTCACAAGCGGAATCCGACAGGGGTGTCCTTTAGCGCCACTACTGTTCATACTGGCGGTAGATCTCTTGTACGACGCAATTCAACAGGACCCAGAAGTACAGGGGGTGGGACTGGAGGAAGATCAGGATGGAGAAAAGATCCAGATAGCGGGGTACGCGGACGACACAGCCATCTATATTGCGGATACAAGCATGCAGCGAGCCGCCATTAGGACAGTGAAGAACTTCTCAGACGTATCAGGCCTCAAACACAATCTGAAGAAATCCGTAGCCCTAAGACTAGGGGAGGCAAGCGCAAGCACTGAGACGACGCGAGGCGGGGGAGCAGATACAGTAGAAGAAGTCAGCGAAACACGATACCTTGGTCATATTGCAGGACCCGAAGCCGCAGCACAGAGCGCATGGGCGAGGGCTTTCGCAGCGCTGACCACCAGATTGGCACTTGCAGTGGAGAAAACGAACACAGTGCAGGAGAGAGCAGCAATCGCGTCGGCAATAATCATGCCAAAGCTAATGTATGTAGCACGGCACGCATGGCCCACCGAAGAACTAGTACAAGAAGCTGAGTGGAGGACCCGGAACCTCGTCTGGAAGTCATCGCTCTCGAAACCTGACAAAGCGTTCAGAGGCTGGATCAAAGCAGCCGTGGCCGAGCGGCGACCCAAGGAAGGCGGAATAGGAATGCTGAACTTCAGAACGGAGCTCCAGAATCGACGGTAGGCGACTGGGCGGCGGCAACCAACAAACGCAAACAAGGGGCAGGTAGACTGCTCCAAATGAAGGAAGGCGTCTTTCTTGGGCACATCACGCCCAAAACGGAAGGAAGGGTCCACGACTGAGAGCGGACCTATGGACCACTGGTAAACTGGTAGTAGAAAAGCGATTTGCTCCTGGTGACCCAGACGAAGCACAAGGCGATCAGGCGGGCTTACGACGCGAGATGCGGCACCGCAACGGACTAAAGACGAATTGGGGACAAATGAGACTGGAATGCAAATTCGAGCCACGGCTACTATGTAAAATGGTGATAAGCAACAAAAAGAGAGAGAAGAAGAGAGGCGAACTGATACAGCATATAGTACTAGAGCTACCCTACAAACAGCTCATCCCGAGGGACTAAGGAGGAACGAAACAAACATGGGCGGTGTACAAGAAGCTAACAGACGGACACGACGTACAGGTGATTAAAGACATCTTGAAGATCTCGTACATCAGCAGCGGTAAAGTACCGGTGGAGCCGCAGACACAAGGAATGCCAATGGAAAGCAAGCAGGCACACCTCTTCCGCGAATTGGCACTCTCGCTGTTAGCACAATTCCCAAAGTTAGTTTTCAAACCGACAGAGCAGAACAAGCTGAGGGTGACGCACGGCATGACTGATCCTCGTCACCGCTTCTGGATAGACCAGTCGAAAGGCACCGCACAGGTCCGACACGGCTGGGCTTTCTCTGACCAAGTAATTGACATGGGGGACAGCAACGAGGAAGCGAGTGCTAACGTAGCCACCTTACTAGATACGCAGAAAGCAGCAGTGTGGATAACGCCGCACCCCGCTCTGACACACATGAGACCGCTATGGGCCGGGAAGAGAAGGTGGGCACGGACGCGAAAGAATACAAAGAGGTCATACGGCGGAACGACAAGAGCAGAGCAGTAAACGAACAGGAACACATGAAGAGCAAAGCCGACAAGCAAAACATAGTGCTGAGCAAGGCTATAGAAACTAACGTGGAAACAAGTGCAACGGAGGCACGGCGTGACAGCGTACCAAAAGCAAAACATAGTACGGCTGAAGGTGTGGTGATTAAGGCTGTGGAGAGGCACAGAAAATAAGTACAAGTGTCCGGGAGCTAGATGCACCAATGCCACAAGGCATGGGCAGGAGCACTTGTTGTGGGGGGTGCCCTGACGCCAGGGCACTATGGGACAAATGGTTGGAAGTATGGGGGATGGCCGCGACGACGGCGGATGGCGAAGCCAACAAGGAGGTGGCCCAAGATATCTTCTCTTTAAGCATGAGCAAAGTCCCTCATTGGCTAATCGACTGGGGCAACAAGGAAAAGGAAGATCGATGGGACGCCATCCACGAGGTAGCAACGACACTCTGGACAATGGGATGTGCGGCAACTATCACAGCATAGTGGAGATGGAAGGTGTCAGAGGTCTACCCAGACCAGAATGCAAGACGGCTGTGGAGAGCGAGGTAAGACGCATGACGACAATCCTGCAAGACACGGTACTGCGCTATAAGGCAGGCTTGTTCCCGTTAGCTGCGACATCGTACGCGAAGCTCATGGTGACGGAGAGGATCAGAAGCAAATGGGCAGGCGCACACAGGGGCGACAACGGGGGATGGGGACAAGACGAAACAGTCCGACTTGGCTCCTTTGATGGAGGGTCACGAGGGTATCCAGGGCCAGGAGGAAGCGGACGTTTGATCGTTGAATGGACGAGAAGAGACGAAAGCCCCAGGGTGGCGTGGGCTGCAGCTACATGTCTAAGCAGCAGAACCATGTTGCAGACGACTTCACGCTGTATTTGGCGAGAGGTGGTCCCCATAATGCCTGGCAAAGTGATTCAGGTGTCGAAAGTGAGTTCATGAGCCGCTGACAGATTCACCCGAATCTTCAAGCAATGATAAACGAGGACAACTGTAGTGGGTGGCGGTTTGAAAGCCCAACCACGACCACACTATACAGTCGATAGTGACGAGCAAGCTGGACAACCAGCATGTGGTTGCAGTC